TAGTTTTTAGGGTATATTTTGAGACCCATTTGAATGGCAAATGGTTCTCCAACCTTTTATTTTCAGGTTGTAGGTGTCCTTCTGTCTAAAATGAGTCTCTTGTAGACAGCAAATAGATGGGTCCTGCTTTTTTATCCAGTCTGAAACCCTGCGCCTTTTGATGGGGTCATTAAGGCCATTCACGTTCAGAGTTACTATTGACAGATATGAGTTTAGTGTCATCATGATATCTATTTAGTCCTTGTTTTTGTGGATTGTTCCACTGAACTTCTTCTTAAAGGGGAGTTTTAAGAGTCCCCCTTAAAATTTCTTGCAGAGCTGGTTTGGAGGTCACATATTCTTTCAGTTCCTGCCTGTCTTGGAAGCTCTTTATCTCTCCTTCCATTTTGAATGAGAGCCTTGCTGGATTTTTTATTATAATTTTTATTTTTTTTTATTGGATTTCAATTTGCCAACATATAGCATAACACCCAGTGCTCATCCCGCCAAGTGCCCCCTCAGTGCCCATCACCCAGTCACCCCAACCCCCCGCTCACCTCCCTTTCCACTACCCCTTGTTCGTTTCCCAGAGTTAGGTGTCTCTCATGTTTTGTCCTACAATGCCCAGGAAAAACCCCAGTACAGAGACCGATCTGGGCCAGGATGTCAAAATCATGATTTGGCTATAGATTTTATTTTATTTTATTTTATTTTTTATTTGGGGGATTTTTCTGGTAATTTTAAAGACTTTTTTTTTGTAGTTTTAAAATTTAATTTTTAGCTTCCATATAATTCAATGCAGTGTTTTTTAGTTTCAGGTATACAATATAGTGATTCAACAGTTGTACACATTACTCAGTGCTCTTAATCTCTTTCACCTATTTCACCCATCCCCCCACACACATCCCCTCTTTTAACCAGCAGTTTGTTCTCTACAGTTAAGAGTCTGTTTTTGGTTTGCTTCTTTTTTTCTTTGATCATTTGTTTTGTTTCTTAAGTATCAATTTAAGTAAAATCATACGGTATTTGTCTTTCTATGACTGACTTATTTCACTTAGCATTATACCCTCTAGATTCATCCATGTTGTTGCAAATGGCAACATCTCATTTGCACTTCTTAATACACTTTAACCACTCCCTCTCCACCTACCCTCTGGCAAGTACCAGTTTTTTTTTTAAGATTTTATTTATTTATTCATGAGAGACAGAGAGAGGCAGAGACATAAGCAGAGGGAGAAGCAGGCTCCTCACAGGGAGCCCGATGTGTAATCCCCCCCAGACCCGGGATCAGGACCTGAGCCGAAGGCAAACGCTCAACTTCTGAGCTACCCAGGTGTCCCACAGTTTGTTTTCTGTATTTGTTTGTCTGTTTGTTTGTTCTATTCTTTAGATTATACAAGTAAGTGAGGTCATATGGTATTTGTCTTTGTCTGAATTATGTCACTTAGTATAACATCCTCTAGATCCATCCATGTTGTTGCAAATGGCAAGATCTCATTCTTTTTTGTGGGTGAGTCATATTCCAGTGCATATCCACACACACATATGTATACAAACGTATATAAAACTTGTATATATTAAAATGTATATAAAATTTCATCTGTATGTATATGTATACATACAAATCTTCTGTATCCATTTATCTGTATGTATATATATGCAAATCTTTATTCATCTGTATGTGTATATATATATATATATATATATATAAATCTTATTTGTCCATCAATAGATGCATTGTCTATTCATCTATTGATGGACACTTGGGCTGCTTTCATATCTTGCCTATTGTAAACAATGCTGCAATAAACATGGGATGCATATATATTTTTGATTAGTGTTTTTGTCTTCTTTGGGAAGCAGAACCACTTGATCATGTGGTGTTTCTATTTTTAATTTTTTTTTTATGAAAACTTTTTTTTAATTAAAGAACATGCAATTGATGTAGTCAATTCAAAGAATTCTTTGGTATCCTTGGTTATTTTTTTTTTTTTTTGTAAAGGGTTTTTTTTTTATAAATTAATTTTTATTGGTGTTCAATTTACCAACATACAGAATAACACCCAGTGCTCATCCCGTCAAGTGTCCCCCTCCGTGCCCGTCACCCATTCACCCCCACCCCCCGCCCTCCTCCCCTTCCACCACCCCTAGTTCATTTCCCAGAGTTAGAAGTCTTTATGTTCTGTGTCCCTTTCTGATATCTCCCACACATTTCTTCTCCCTTCCCTTACATTCCCCTTCACTATTATTCATATTCCCCAAATGAGTGAGAACATACACTGTTTGTCCTTCTCCGATTGACTTACTTCACTCAGCATAATACCCTCCAGTTCCATCCACGTTGAAGCAAATGGTGGGTATTTGTTGTTTCTAATGGCTGAGTAATATTCCATTGGATACATAAACCACATCTTCTTTATCCATTCATCTTTCGATGGGCACCGAGGCTCCTTCCACAGTTTGGCTATTTTTAATTTTTTGAGGAACCTCCACACTGTTTCCACAGTGGCTGTGCTAGTTTGCATTCCTACCAACAGTGCACAAGGGTTCCATCTTCTCCACATTCTCACCCACACTTGTCATTTCTTGTCTTTTTATACTAGCTAGTCTGACTGGTATGAAGTGATTGCCTTATTCTTCTGGATGTCACATAGATGGATTTTTTTTTCCTTTCAGATTGCTCACTACATATATATAATGTATATACATACACATATGTATAAACATATATATACATATATGTATATACACATATATGTATATATATGATTTTTGAGGGATATATATATATATGATTTTTTGAGAGTTAGCTTTGTATCCAGTTACTTGACTGAATTAATTTAATAGCTTTATTAGTGTTTTTGTGGCATCTTTAGGATTTTTTACGTATAAGATCACATCATTTACATACTTAATTTATTTTTTCCTTTCCAGTTTGGATGTTTCTTTCTTTCTTTCTTCCTTTCTTCCTTCCTTTCTTCTTTCTTTCTTTCTTTTCTTTCTTTCTTTCTTTCTTTCTTTCTTTCTTTCTTTCTTTCTTTCTTTTCTTTCTTTCTTTCCTTTCTTTCTTTCTTTCTTTCTTTCTTTTCTTTCTTTCTTTTCTTTCTTTCTTTCTTTCTTTCTTTCTTTCTTTCTTTCTTTCTTTCTTTCTTTCTTTCTTTCTTTCTTTTCTTTCTTTTCCCACCAGAGTTCCAGGAGAGCAGCTTTGCACTATCCTCTCACCTACTATTTTTCTTTCTTTAGTTCCTCTGGCTAGAACTTCCAGTGTTATGTTGCATAGAAATCATGAAAGCGGTCATCCTTGCTTTATTCTAGACCATACAGGAAAAATGTTCACTGTGCCCCCATTGAGTATCATGCTTGCTGTGGGTTTTTCATAAAAGGATTTTTTTCAAGATTTTATTTATTTATGAGAGAGAGAGAAAGAGAGGCAGAGACACAGGCAGAGGGAGAAGCAGGCTCCATGCGGGGAGCCTGATATGGGAATTAATCCAAGGACTCCAGGATCACACCCTGAGCCAAAGGCAGACACTCAACCACTGCCACTTCACTCATGCCTGCCACCCAGGCATCCCATTGGACATCCACATGCAGAAGAATGAAACTAGACCACTCTCTTTCACCATACACAAAGATAAACTCAAAATGGATGAAAGATCTAATGTGAGACAAGATTCCATCAAAATCCTAGAGGAGAACACAGGCAACACCCTTTTTGAACTTGGCCACAGCAACTTCTTGCAAGATACATCCACGAAGGCAAAAGAAACAAAAGCAAAAATGAACTATTGGGACTTCATCAAGATAAGAAGCTTTTGCACAGCAAAGGATACAGTCAACAAAACTCAAAGACAAACTACAGAATGGGAGAAGGTATTTGCAAATGACGTATCAGATAAAGGGCTAGTTTCCAAGATCTATAAAGAACTTCTTAAGCTCAACACCAAAGAAACAAACAATCCAATCATGAAATGGGCAAAAGACATGAACAGAAATCTCACAGAGGAAGACATAGACATGGCCAACAGGCACATGAGAAAATGCTCCGCATCACTTGCCATCAGGGAAATACAAATCAAAACCACAATGAGATACCACCTCACACCATTGAGAATGGGGAAAATTAACAAGGCAGGAAACCACAAATGTTGGAGAGGATGCGGAGAAAAGGGAACCCTCTTACACTGTTGGTGGGAATGTGAACTGGTGCAGCCACTCTGGAAAACTGTGTGGAGGTTCCTCAAAGAGTTAAAAGTGGACCTGCCCTATGACCCAGCAATTGCACTGTTAGGGATTTACCCCAAAGATTCAGATGCAATGAAACGCCAGGACACCTGCACCCCGATGTTTCTAGCAGCAATGTCCACAATAGCCAAACTGTGGAAGGAGCCTCGGTTTCCATCGAAAGATGAATGGATAAAGAAGATGTGGTTTATGTATACAATGGAATATTCCTCAGCCATTAGAAATGACAAATACCCACCATTTGCTTCAATGTGGATGGAACTGGAGGGTATTATGCTGAGTGAAATAAGTCAATCGGAGAAGGACAAACATTATATGTTCTCATTCATTTGGGGAATATGAAATAATAGTGAAAGGGAATATAAGGGAAGGGAGAAGAAATGTGTGGGAAATATCAGAAAGGGAGACAGAACATAAAGACTCCTAACTCTGGGAAACGAACTAGGGGTGGTGGAAGGGGAGGAGAGTGGGGGTGGGGGTGAATGGGTGACGGGCACTGAGGGGGACACTTGACGGGATGAGCACTGGGTGTTATTCTGTTTGTTGGTAAATTGAACACCAATAAAAAATTAATTTATTAAAAAAATAAAAGGCTTTATGTTGAGATAGTTTCCTTATATTCCTAGTTTTTAGTATTTTTATGGTGTTCTACACAAATATAAACATTAATTTTTTGAGAGAAGAATATAAACAATAATGTACCTGCCAGGTTAGTAATGCATGATTATGATTATGTCATGCTCTTTCTCTCTTATTTTACTAGTAGCATTGCCTATATGGAACTAAAGAATGATACACGAATTTCAGAATTTCTTCTTCTGGGATTTTCAGAGGAACCAGAATTGCAACCCTTCCTCTTTGGGTTTTTCCTGTGCATGTACCTGGTCACCATACTTGGGAATCTGCTCATCATCCTGGCTGTCAGCTCTGATTCCCACCTCCACACACCCATGTATTTCTTCCTTGCCAACCTTTCCTTTGTAGAAATCTGTTTCATCTCCACCACTGTCCCCAAGATGCTGATGAATATACACGCAAAGAAAAAAGTCATAACATATAAAAGCTGCATCATGCAGATGTACTTTTTCATACTTTTTGTAGGTTTGGACAACTTCCTCCTGACTGTGATGGCCTATGACAGATTCATGGCCATCTGTAATCCCCTGCACTACATGGTTATCATGAACCCTGGGCTCTGTGGACTGCTGGTTCTGGTGTCCTGGGTCGTGAGTGTCTTGCATTCCCTATTACAAACCTTAATGGTGTTGCGGCTGTCCTTCTGTACAGAGGTGGAAATCCCGCACTTTTTCTGTGAACTCAATCAGGTGATCCAAGTTGCCTGTTCTGACACCTTTCTCAACAACATGGTGATGTATCTTGCAACTGTGCTTCTGGCTGGTGGTCCCCTGGCTGGGGTCCTTTACTCTTACTCTAAGATCGTTTCCTCCATACGTAAAATACAATCAGCTCAGGGCAAGTATAAAGCATTTTCCACCTGTGCATCTCACCTCTCGGTTGTCTCCTTATTTTACTGTACGGGCCTAGGAGTGTACCTTAGCTCTGCTGCTACCCAGAGCTCCCACTCAAGTGCAGAAGCCTCGGTAATGTACACGGTTGTCACGCCCATGCTGAACCCCTTCATCTACAGCCTGCGGAACAGAGACATAAAGAGGGTTCTAAATGTATTTTTCAGAAGGAAGCCATAAAAGAGTCATTTTTCAAGAAGTATCTGTGATTGCCAGATAATGCCTAACAGCCAGAAATCATGGTTCTTTAATTGGTTCATGAATTAAGAACTTAATCCCTCTATCTGTAACTTGGAGTTTCACTTTTTCTAAAGTTTAACTGCTTTATTAAACTTTTCTTTTTTGTTTTCTTAATTTCCATATTAGTTCCAACTCTGAATCAGAAACAATTTGGAGATTCCCATTTGTGCCATAGAGTGATGGATTGTCCTAGTTTTATGAAATAAACTACATTGCCCACTGAGACCATTCTTATAATTTTATTGTAGAAGAAACTCTAAGAGCACAGTTTTTCACTCTGAGTCTGCCATTCTTTTTATGTTAGTACATTAAATGCTTTTCCTGATGATATAGTCTTTAACCTACTAGTTTGTTTTGTAGCTAGTCATGGGGCTTTGTGATCCTCATTAGCATCTTGTTCTCTTATCAGCTCAAGCATCCACAGTATCCCTCGTACAGAAGAGTAAGGCTAAAATTGCTTATGAGGGATCCCTAGGTGGCACAGCGGTTTGGCGCCTGCCTTTGGCCCAGGGTGCGATCCTGGAGACCAGGGATCAAATCCCACATCGGGCTCCCAGTGCATGGAGCCTGCTTCTCCCTCTGCCTGTGTCTCTGCCTCTCTCTCTCTCTCTCTATCATAAATAAATAAAAATTAAAAAAAATTTAAAATTGCTTATGAAAAACACAAACCAAGTATAATCTACAGAAAGACAAATTTGCATAAACCAAGTGACTTGACATGGGCTCACTATCAGGGAAGACCTGACATAGGATGAAGTAAAATTTTTAATCACACCATATTTCACTGTGGAAAATATATTTTTGATGATGTACATCTACTCATTGAAATGTGGCATATTTGTTGTCCATCTTTAAGGGTTTTATTAATTGAAGTGAAGAATGTAGTAGCAGATTTTATATTATTTAATTGGATTATTTTGCTGTTTCTCTTTGAAAATTTCTAGTGCTGCCTACAAATATTACTCCTTCCATTGCCCTAGACTTAATATCTCCCCTTTTAAAAATGTTGTCATGAATGTTATACTGTGTGTGAACAATTTCTGTCACCAATTTCTTTACCTTTCTTGTGATCTTTTGCTGCTGATTTTACTTATTTGTAAATAAGTACCTCTCCCCTACCCTTTTTCTTCGCTCTAACAAATCGTTTGTCAATTTTGATCAGCTTTTCAAAAATTCGCTCTTAGCTTTGTTAATCTTTTCTGTGTTTTTTCTTGTCCATATACTATTTATGTTTGCTCTGATATTTGTTATTTTTTCCTCTGCTCCATGGGACTCAGTTTATTCTTCTTTTTGTAGGTCTTTGAGTCATAAAGTGAGGTTATTTAGTGAAGGTCTCTTGTTTTTCTTAATGTAGGCATTTATTGCTAGAAACTTCCTTCTTTGAGCTGCGTTTGCAACATCCCATAAGTTTTGATAGGCTATGTTTTCTTTTTCATTTGATTGAAGATTTTCAAATTTCTTTTTTGTTTTCTTATTTCATCCACTGGCTATTCATGATTGGGTGGCTTACTCCCTACATATTTGTGAATATCTCAGATATCTGTGACCTTACATTCATTGCAGGATTATTTACAATAGCCAAAACATGGATATAGCTGAGTATCATCTGTCATCATTGACAGATGAATTAATGATGATAGCATATCTATACAGTGTGACTCAGCAATAAGAAAATATCCTTCCTTTGCTAAAATACATATGGGCTCTGAGGACATTACACTAAGTGAATTAATCAGACAGAGAAAGACAAATAGTGTAGAATCTCACTTATATGTGAAATACAAGAATCTGAACTCATAGAAACAGAGAGCAGGTTGATGTTTGCCTGTAGCTGGGGTTTGGGGAAATGAGAAGATGCTGGTGGAAGCCTACAAATCTTCAATTATAAGATGAATGAGTTCTGGAAATGTCATGTACAACATGGTCATTTTGGTTAACTATATTGTGTTGTGTACTGGCATGTTGCTAACAGAGTACAGAGTAAATGTTCTTACAACAAAAAGAAAAGAGAACTATGTGAAGTGATGGATGTATTCACTAATGTATCCTGGTGATCATTTCATTTATATGAAATCGCCAAGTTGTATGCTTAAAATTTTAGAATTTTACATGGCAATTACATGTTAATAAAACTGGAAAAATGAGGGGTGGAGGGATGGGGTAATTGGGTGATGGGCATTAAGGAGGGCATGTGATGTGATGAGCACTGGGTATTATATGCAACTGATGAATTATTGAACTCTGAAACTAATGATGTACTAGATCTTGGCTAATTGAATTTAAATTAAAAAACTGGAAAAATGAAGAAAAAATCTTCCCGTCTTCTCTGTCTTCTATTTGCATTCCAATGCCATCTCCTTCCAGTGGAAGCCTCCCCATAAAAGAAAACCAAACAGTACCAGAATGAAAACCGTTATGAATATATCACTGAGAAAGTGATAGGAATCAACCAGTCAATAGGAAAACATAAGGAAGACATAAGTATCTACATAAGGATTCCATGAAGATAGCATCAGTGATAAACAGTTCTTAGTCCATCAATTGGTGAGTTAGATACAAGGTCTCCAGTCTCTCTGAGACATCTGGAAAGAAAATCTTTTATTTCTTTGAGCTTTTCTTAGACTAGGAATAGTGATCTACAGGCAAGTGGTGGAGAGCAAATATTTACAGGAAAGCCTGAGCCTCTGGAGTAAATTTCCATAAATAACTGCCCAGTGGATACATAATTCAATCTCACTGTATTCTCAGAGATCATTCCACTGTTGAAAGTTGAAGTGGAAATGAAACCTTTCAAATAGAAATTTACAGTAGTAGTAGACTGTTTGCAGAGATGGCTTCACATCCCCTTCTTTCTAGGTAGCCATGTGTTTGGCAGTGTGGGCAGCACCTTCCATCAGGTGGTGGAGACTCTTCCGCCACCTTTCATCTGGGCTGGATGGGAGTGACAGTAGTTATTAGAGACGTGGTGCATTTCTGCTGTTCTGCCTTGGAACTCTGCCTCCAGTAGCTGAATTAAGCCAGGTGGGCTTCCAGAGAAAGTGAGGACATGTGGAGCAGAGCCCAGTTGTCCAAGCCAAGGCCACCCTGGACTAGCTTCAGCTAGCTAGCCAAGCCCTAATTATATAGAATGCCCTGGAGATATCAGCAGTGCTGGTGCCCCTGCAATGCCCCCTCCCCCGGCTCTACCTTGCCTCAGCTGACAAATAGCTGACTCAAACTCTTGAGAAGATCAACAGAGATTAGAACAACTCATCACCATACAATTTCGCTTGATACTAAAGACATTATACCAAGCCATTTGCTTTCAGGATGGCCTGCTTTGCAGCAACATTCATTATCATTCTGTTATTCAAGTTATTTTGGATACCTGCTAAAAGTGACTTTAAGGGCCCCTGGGTGGCTCAGCAGTTGTGCTTCCAACTCTTGGTTTCAGCTTAGGTCATGATCTGAAGCTCCTGGGATGAAGCCCGACTTTGGGCTTTACACTCAGCTAGGAGTCTGATCAAGATTCTCTGTCCCTTTCTTTCTTCCCTGTCCCCCTTTCTTGCTCTCTCTTTCTCTCAAATAAACAAATAAATCTTAAAAAGAGTGGCTCTGATAAGGATCCTTTTCAGTTACATGGAAGGACATGTATTTTTTGTAGAGAATGAATAGTGACCCAGAGTCATGTACATGACTAGGCAGGAATTCATGCTCTCTGTGTTCTGGAGAGACATCTTGATTTTAGCTTAATGAGACTTATTTTTGGCTTTTACCTCCAAGGCTGGAAGAGTGCATTTTTTTTCAAATATTTTATTTTTTTATTCATGAGAGACGAGAGAGAGGCAGAGACATAGGCAGAGGAAAAGCAGACTTCCTACAGGGAGCCGGATGCGGGACTCGATCCCAGATCCTGAGATCAGGATCTGAGCCGAAGGTAGACGCTCAACCACTGAGTCACCCAGGAATCCCTGGAAGACTGTAAATTTGTTTCTTTTAAATCCTCAGTGTGGAAATTGATGATAGCAGCAATAGGAAAGTGACAAGGACATTTCTCCAATAAAATTTTCTTTGAAGAAACTGAAATTAAGTCTCTTAGTTCATTCACTTAGCTTCCTTGGATAAGGAAGGGCATTTTGTGTTGAAGCCCTACCTTAAGTGGAAGAAAATTCTAAAGTCAGTTTTGAGATACTCAATCCTATTAGTTGGTACAGAGGAGTTATCCTTGCATAATGTCAACGTGGTTGTGTCTTTGAGGCCTCTGGACATTAAGATAGGAAAACTGATTCATTGTGAAAATTAAAGCCACCGTTCTCTAAATATTTTTGTCAGAATTTCTATAAACCTAGAATTCCACGTGAAAACAAATGTTCATTCTTTTCATTTCTTTACAAGTTTCTCTCAAGCTTTCTTTCAACACAATAGATTGGTTATAATGAGCTACAATGAGGGCTATGGGTCTTGTGCATGTACATATATGCACAAGAGTGTGTTTTCTTGAAATGAAAATGTACATGAATATACATACATTTACATACACCCAACTCATAATCTTGAACATTCTTTGGACCCAACAGTGTATTTCCACACATTTCATCTTTCCTTACAACATTCCTTGAAGTTGTGTTTATGATTCCACATTGCCTTCAGAAGAAAATGAAGGCTGGAGGGATTACACTCTAACATTGTGTAATGAAGCAGTTAGAACTTACTGTGTACCTTCTTGAGTTCTATGGAAATGGAATCATGCAGTGTGTCTCCTGATTTTTCTTTTTTTAAAAATATTTTATTTATTCATGGAGGACACAGAGAGAGGCAGAGACATAGGCAGAGGGAGAAGCAGGCTCCCTGCAAGGAGCCCAATGTGGGACTTGGTCCTGGATCCCAGGCCCTGAGCCAAAGGCAGATGCTCAACCACTGAGCCACCAGGCATCCTTGTACCATGATTTTCTTTTTTTTTTTAAATTTTTAAAATTTATTTATGATAGTCACACACACACACACACACACACACACACACACACACACACACACACAGGCAGAGACACAGGCAGAGGGAGAAGCAGGCTCCATGCACCGGGAGCCCGACGTGGGATTCGATCCCGGGTCTCCAGGATCGCGCCCTAGGCCAAAGGCAGGCGCCAAACCGCTGCGCTACCCAGGGATCCCGTCCCATGACTTTTCAATGACTTTTTCAATTCCATAAGTTGTGCACTTTAAATATGCATAGTTTTTCTCATGTAATAATCATTGAATAAATTAATTTGAATTAAAAAATTCTAGCGGTGCCTGACTCAAGGTCAGATCTGGAGCATAGTTTCCTGAGTCACACCTATCAGAATGGGAGAGCTCTATTCCAACTGTGGAAAAGCTAAGGTTCACATGTGGATGTTAAAATAGTGGAATTAAGACATTTCACATTTGATAAACTCATTTGAAAAAAACATCCTATTATTTATTTGAGAGTGAGAGAGCACAGAGGAGAGTGAGAGGGAGAAGCAGACACCCTGCTGAGTAGGGAGTCGCATATGGGACTCAATTCCAGGACCCCGAGACCATGACCTGAGCTAAAAGCAGACAATTAATCAGTTGAGCAACCCAGGCGCCCCTACACTAAGCCACTTTATTTTACAATGCTTTGTATGCAACAAAAGCTCACTGATATAATAATTAAATTAGGCAGAACTCATGGCATGTGTAGTAATCTGATTCTTTTTTTTTAAATAATCCAAAGGATTTTTTAAAATTTATTTTTATTTATGATAGTCACAGAGAGAGAGAGAGAGAGAGAGAGAGAGGCAGAGACACAGGCAGAGGGAGAAGCAGGCTCCATGCACCGGGAACCTGATATGGGATTCGATCCCGGGTCTCCAGGATCACGCCCTGAGCCAAAGGCAGGCGCCAAACTGCTGTGCCACCCAGGGATCCCCCTGATTCTTTTTTATTCTAGGCATTGGTTCTGATCCTTGAAAGTAGCCTTCATGAGTACTCTGTTCTTCAAGTTTGTCTCACTGAACTGTATTAAAAAATGAGTCCAGCGAGGCCTCTTTGAGGTAATGTGGAGAGGTTGGAAGGACTTCCATGTGTGCACAAAATTGGGACTCTGAATCACATATCTGGACAGGAATCCAAGCCTGCCAGTGAGGTGTCCTGTGATTATGAGGATGATATATAATGGATGATACTGATAGTGTTCATTCACTGTCCCTTCATAAATTATGGGAAAATTTTGAATAGTGGGAGATATTTCACTTAGAGAAATGGAAGGAATGATATTTGTACATAGGTTTGGAAAATTTCAACCCAAATCCAGAAAATAATTTAATAAAACCCCAAACATGCCACCATCTTTCCTCTTACTGAATATACCTTACAAATGGACCTTAATATTCCATAATTTATTTTATTTTTTAAAAAGAATGGATAAAGAAGATGTGATTTATGTATACAATGGAATATTACTCAGCCATTAGAAATGACAAAAACCCACCATTTGCTTCAACGTGGATGGAACTGGGGGGTATTATGCTGAGTGAAATAAGTCAATCGGAGGACAAACATTATATGTTCTCATTTATTTGGGGAATATAAATAATAGTGAAAAGCAATAGAAGAGAAGGGAGAAGAAATGGGTAAGAAATATCAGAGAGGGAGACAGAACATAAAGACTCCTAACTCTGGGAAACGAACTAGGGGTGGTGGAAAGGGAGGAGGGCGGGGGGTGGGGGTGAATGGGTGACGGGCACTGAGGGGGGCACTTGACGGGATGAGCACTGGGTGTTATTCTGTATGTTGGCAAATTGAACACCAATAAAAAATAAATTTATTACTAAAAAAAGATTTTATTCATTTATTCCTGAGAATAATGAATAAAATTATTCTCTTTCTCTCTCACAGAGAGAAAGAGAGGCAGAGACACAGGCAGAGGGAGAAGCAGGCTCTATGCAGGGAGCCCGACGTGGGACTTGATCCCGGGTCTCCAGGATCATGCCCTGGGCTGAAGGTGGTGCTAAACAATTGAGCCACCGGGCTGCCCTAATATTCCATAATTTAATGAGTAGATGAAGTGCCTGAGAAAGAAATACTTTGCATAGCAATAAATCTATGATTTAATATTTTGCTTCATCATCCTTAAAGTCAACTGGACATCAAGGCCATATTATATCAATCTATTTTTTTCCATATATGTCTTTCCATGTAGATTCCACTTGGAGACATGGATTTTTATTATCATTTCTTTTGCTAGTGACTAGGGTAGGCATGGTGGACAGAAGCTGCGTAACAACAGGATCCTAATGTGTAGAAAAATCCTCAGGATCAGCCATAACAACCAGTATCTCAAAGTCTGCATTCTCAGGAGGAGCATTTAAGGTAATTATATACAAAGGAATCATGTTCATAAAGTGAAGCACAGTGGTCTCAGATTTTTCTCTGTTATAAACTAATATAAATAGCTATGGTGGCCAGGTATAGATTTTCCATAGGAGTAGTATTTGGTCAAACAAAACAAAACAAAAAAATACTTACTATGATATATTTTATTCAAGAAGAAATTATTCTTTGCAGATACATGTAGTCCTTTAAAAAAATGAGAATTTCCAAATATTTCACAACCAAGTTTAGGAATAGCATTGAGAGAGTAGGAAAGTGACAAAGGGAAAAATCTCTGGGATATCAGAGATATCACAAAGCTTAATAAAGTGAGTTGCATAAATTATATAGAAAGGCAAAGAAGAAATAGAAATTCAGGAAAAAAATACTAGAAGCATGTCCCACTTCCACAATCTGATCAAAGTATCTCAAGATCTGGCTCAGGTTTTGGGCCTTGCAATCATGGGCACTTCTTCAGCCCCAGGACGATTGGCCCTTTTAGAGCTGGCATCCCAGAGAATCTCATCAGAGCCTCCTTTATGTCTCTGTTCCGCAGGCTGTAGATGAAGGGATTCAGCATGGGCGTGACCACTGTGTATATCACTGAGGCCACTGCACTTGAGTGGGAGCTCTGGGTAGCAGCAGAGCTAAGGTACACTCCTAGGCCCGTACAGTAAAATAAGGAGACAACCGAGAGGTGAGATGAACAGGTGGAAAATGCTTTATACTTGCCATGAGCTGATGAGATTCTATGTATGGAGGAAACTATCTTAGAGTAAGAGTAAAGGATCCCAAGGAAGGGACCACCAGCCAGAAGCACAGTTGCAAGATACATCACCATGTTGGTGAGAAAGGTGTCAGAGCAGGCAAGTTGTATCATCTGATTGAGTTCACAGAAAAAGTGCGGGATTTCCACCTCTGTACAGAAGGAGAGCTGCAACACCATGGAGGTTTGTAACAAGGAATACAGGACACTCACGACCCAGGACACCAGAACCAGCAGTGCACAAAGCCAGGGGTTCATGATTACCGTGTAGCGCAGGGGGTGACAGATGGCTACAAACCGGTCATAAGCCATCACAGTTAGAAGAAAGATGTCTAATCCTGTAAAAAGTATGAAAAAGTACATCTGTGTGAGGCACCTTGCATAGGTGATGACTTTGCTTTGGGTCTGGATGTTCTGCAGCATTTTGGGGATGGTGGTGGAAGTGAAACAGATGTCTACAAAGGACAGGTTGGTGAGGAAGAAGTACATGGGGGTGCGGAGGTGGGGGTCTGAGCTGACCGCCAGGATGATGAGCAGGTTTCCAAACACAGTGATCAGGTACATGGAGAGGAAAAGCCCAAATACGAGGGGCTGTAGTTCTAGTTCCTCTGAAAATCCCAGAAGGTAGAATTCTGAAATTCCTGTATCATTTCTTGGGTCCATATGGTGGAGGCGACTACCAGCACAGGGGAAAATAACATGACTCATTTTCACACAAATGGATATTGCTCACATTGTGGAAATGCAACAATTTATATTTTCCAGTCAAGAAACTAATTTCAATATTTTTGAATGGATCTGGGACCTTTGAGGTGATCTCCATTTCCTCTCTGACTTGGAATTTTATTTTTTTCCTTTTAATTTAAGATTTGGAATTTTCATCCCAACATCAGATGTTTCCCAACAGTTCAAGTATTGTATAGTCTTAGTAGGAAATTCTTTCATGCATTTGAGGAATATATAGAGTGTGGACCATGCTTCAAAATTCTAGTTATAAAGTGTAGGAGGTGAAAAGCAAAAATCCCTAGAATTCTGTGATGATGGAAGTAGATATAAAGATTAAATAATCATGAAATGGGGACAGATGCTATGAAGAACACAGAAGCGGTTTAAAGGAGAGAGTGGGTGGCTGTTATGTTGGGTGTTCAGTCAAGATTGGCTTAGGAGGTGGCATTTGAACAGAGACCTCCAGGGAGAGGGTGGAAGACCAGAGGTCTTCCTGGCAGAGGGAAGGGCTAGTGCAAAGGCTCTGAGGTAGTGCTTCTGTTAGAAAATCAAGGCTCAGAAGGAAGCCAATGTATTGAGGGGAATGGACAAGAGGGAAAGTGATGAGAGGTGGTGGCAGGGAATTATGTAGAACCATTGGCCTCATAGATGCTTAAAGTTCAAGACACAGGGACTTCCTTGTTCACACTATGTACCTCTTGTGCTTTATGATCTGATTGCAATAGCGTCCTGTCTGTCCTTTGAACATCCCTCCTTAGTATTATCTGTTGAGTGAGTTTGGCCTGTGTAGTATAGGGCTCACCTTGAAGTAGAGAAGCCTGTGTGTTCTTGCTTGAGGACTGCTCTCACTCATCAACGTGTATGTGTGCACATGCATGCACACACATGCACACATACATTCTCACATACACACAACACAGCACGCCATGCCCTCTTGTTGTGTGTTCTTCTATGTCCTTCTCACCTTCCCCCCAACCACTCCAACACACTGTTTAGGATATGAATGCATACAAATAATATCATCTTTCCCATAAGAATGTAAAAATATACCCAGCAATTGTGTTCAATATTTGGGGTGTTTTCTCATTCTATATAAATTTTAGATTGTTCCAGCTCTGTGAACAGAGTATTGGTGTTGGTGGTATTTTGATCAGGTTTACATTGAATGTGTAGATTGCTTTGGGTAACAGGCATTTTTAACAATATTTGTTCTTCCAATTCAGGAGCATGGAATTTTTTCCATTTCTTTGTGTCTTCCTCAAATTTTTTAACATAAATGTTCTACAATTAAAAGTACAGATCTTTTACCTCTTTGGTTAGGTTTATCCCTAGATATCTTATGGTTTTTGGTACAATTGTAAACAGCTAAGAGACACATGAAAAAAATGCTCAACATGACTCATCACCAGGGAAATACAGATCAAAACCACATTGAGATACCACCTCACACCAGTCAGAATGGCTAAAATTAACAAGACAGAAAAAAATAGGTGTTGGCCCAGATGTGGAGAAAGGGGAACCCTCTCATACTGTTGGTGGGAATGCAAACTGGTGCAGCCATTCTGGAAGATAGTATGGAGATTGCTCAAAAAATTAAAAATAGAGCTACCCTATGACCTAGCAATTGCACTACTAGGTATTTATCCAATGTACACAAACAGTGATTCAAAGGGGCAGCTGAACCCCAATGTTTATAGCAACAATGTCCACGTTAGCCAAAATATGGAAAACCCCAGATGTCCATGAACAGATGAATGGATAAAGATGTGAGATATATATATATACATATATATATATATTGTATATATATATATATATACATTATATATATATATGTATATATATATACACACACACACACACACACGCACAGTGGGATAATACTCAGCCATTAAAGAATGAAATCTTGCCATTTGCAATGACATGGATGGAGTTAGAGTGTATTATGATAAGCCAAATGAGTCAGAGAAAGACAAATACCATATGATTTCACTCATAAGTGAAATTTAAGAAACAAAACTGATGAATGGGAGAAGGGAAAGAAAAATAAAATAAGATAAAAAAAGTGAGGGCGGAAATCCTAAAATATTCTTGATTATAGGACAGAAATAGAGGGTTGCTGGTGGGGAGGTGGGTGAGGGAATGGGATAATTGGGTGATGGGTATTAAGGAAGGCATGTGATGTAATGAGCCCTGGATATTATACGCAACTGATGAATTATTAAATTCTACCTCTGAAACTAATAATACATTGTATATTAACTAAATTGAATTTAAATAAGAAATTAAAAAAATAACACCAAGAAAAAATTGTGTTCAATACAGAGAAATAGAGACAGACAGAGGGAGGGAGAATTGGGATGGATATAAAGAGTAAAATGATCTAATACGTTCAGCTGACCTGAAAGACTGTTGGGAAGGAAAGCTCCCCTGGTGCTGGTGGCATTCCATTCTGGTTTCATCCTATTAATACCCAGCAGAAATAATAAAAGAGGAAAAACAAATTTGTCCAAAAGACAAAGTAATGACATCTTTATGGTGTGAAACACCTTACAGATTGAACATCACAAGAGAAAAATTAGTAAAAAGAAGGAAACAATACTTCACAAAATTTGGGCATTTTTATTACCGGATAGCAGATAGCAGAAGACTTGTTTTTCCTGTGCTTATTACATATTTATTTGACCAGTTGGTTTTTATTTGGCCCAATAGAGGATGTGATGAATCCCTTTATCACTTTTTCTATATGACATCTTTTTATGTTTGTTATTTCTAACAAATAAACCCAAATATTTTTTGGGTTTTAGTCACTTTCTTGACAAGTCTCAGGAGCACAACTACTCACAGTTCTGTTCCTTGTCCAACATGCAAAGGCCTCCCCAGACTCTGTAAAATCCTAAACACCCTGTGGCGATCTATCCTCTTACTCTGAATAATTTTCATGTGACTTATCTGAGGGCATTATCTCGTACTCACATTTATCTCACTGTGATCTTGTATGTCACTGTGACTTAAGAACCAAAGAGGCAGGGACTTCACCTGAACTGTTCATCTTCTTCTTTATGGGTGTGGATGTATATGCACTTATATAAAAACAAATTTAAAACAATGAAACATGAAATACAGAGAATGACAGAGGAGAGAAAACCAGGTTAAAGAGAGTGGTTTTGGTACAACCATATCCAGCAACATTGAAGGGAATTTTGAGAACTGAAACCGGATCTACAGGAGCAGTAATTCCACAAAATCAACATGGACAAATAATAAAATTCTCCAAGATCTTGAAATAGGAGGGAATTAAGTATTTATAAAATTCTTACACATTTCTGGAACATAGAAGATGCTCTTTTAGTATTTTCTTAAAAGAGATTTTATTTATTTATTCATGAGAGACAGAGAGAGAGAGGCATATACATAGGCAGAGGGAGTAGCAGGCTCCATGCAGGGAGCCCGATGCAGGACTTGATCCTGAGACTCTAGGATCACACCCTGGGCTGAAGCCAGGCACTAAACTGCTGAGCAACCCAGGGATCCCCACTTTTAGTATTTGTTGAAGAATCAGGAATTAGGCCTCATTATATATGGACATTCAATACACGACAAAGCTGCATTTCAATTTAGCTGGAAAAGACTGTATCGTCAAATGGAAGTTTGCACAAATAGCCTTTTACCTGGAAGGAAGTGCAGTGGCTCCTTATCTCACACAACTCACGAAAATCAGAAGGAGTAAACCTCAGTTTAGGAGTAACCATTCCATTCCATTTTAGATGCATATCTAGAAACCTACATATAAAACCATCATAGCTGGTTTCACTCATATGTAGAATATAAGACATAGTGAAAGAGATTGTAAGGGAAAGGAGGGAAACTGAGTGGGGTAAAATTAGAGAGGGAGACAAACCATGAGAAACTCCTAACTCTGGGAAACAAAGGGTTGTGGAAGGGGAGGTAGGTGAGGGGATGGGGTAACTGGGTCATGGGCACTGAGGAGGGCACTTGATGGGATGAGCACTGGGTGTTACACTATATGTTGGCAAATTGAATTTAATTTAAAAAATTAAAAAAATAAAACCATCATAATTAAGGCAAAAAAACTCAGAGGTTAGAAGATAGATATATTTAGCTAAATAAAACTTAAGACCATTTTATGGCCAAAAATATATAACTAAAACTCAATAGAGAAACTGATTTGTGAAAATTATATGCAACGTTGATAATTATAGATAAGTAGGCATATAATAAGTGTACATATAATAATAATAGACAAATGTACCTGGCAATCATATAGATAAGCCTTTTCTTGAGCTCACGGATAGTTTAAAAAACTCAATAAGAAATCTCTTCCAATGGTGCAGCCACTCTGGAAAACTATGTGGAGGTTCCTCAAAGAGTTAAAAATAGACCTGCCCTACGACCCAGCAATTGCACTGTTGGGGATTTACCCCAAAGATACAGATGCATTGAAACGCCAGGACACCCGCACCCCAATGCTTCTAGCAGCAATGTCCACAATAGCCAAACTGTGGAAGGAGCCTCGGTGCCCATCGAAAGATGAATGGATAAAGAAGATGTGGTGTATGTATACAATGGAATATTACTCAGCCATTAGAAACGACAAATACCCACCATTTGCTTCAACGTGGATGGAACTGGAGGGTATTATGCTGAGTGAAGTAAGTCAATCGGAGAAGGACAAACATTATATGTTCTCATTCATTTGGGGAATATAAATAATAGTGAAAGGGAATAGAAGGGAAGGGAGAAGAAATGGGTAGGAAATATCAGAAAAGGAGACAGAGCATAAAGACTCTTAACTCTGGGAAACGAACTAAGGATGGTGGAAGGGAAGGAGGGCAGGGAGTGGGGGTGAATGGGTGACGGGCGCTGAGGTGGGCAATTGACGGGATGAGCACTGGGTGTTATTCTGTATGTTGGCA